CAACGCGCTCGGCCCTGGGCACCGTCTGGATAGGGCCCCCCAGGCTCCCGAACAAAGCTTTGTATGGCCACAGGTCTCGGGTCAATGCCACGACGGCCCAGCCACAGCGCCGTTCCTCAGGGAAATCACTTTCAAGACAGGACCCGTCCCCGTACAACTTCGACGGCCACGGCATGTCGATCGCCCCCCACTCGCGCTCAGCCTGAGCACGTGCAGGCAGCGGCCTGAAAACAGGCCTCAGGGGCAGCGCGTAGAGCACGTCGATGGCCGAGAAGTCCTGCACCTGGCCCCCGTCGCGCCACGGGGCTGCCTCCAGGATGTCCTTCCTCCTCTTGGCCACCTCCTCGGGGTACGGCTCCGTCTCCTCGTCCTCCTGCTGCTGATGCAATACCTTGCAGCCGAAGATCTCATGCTCGAGGTCGCAGCAGGCCTCCCCGCAGAACTCGCACGAACCGTCGCCGCCGTAGCCAGCCTGCATGCGGCGCTGCGGCGACCAGAACCCGTTGGACTGCAGCTTGGCCAGAGCCCCTCTGTGGCCAGGCGCCAAGGAAGCGTGTCCCAGTCGAAGCGCACGAAGCCACACATGCTGCTGCCGCCTGCCGTCACCATCGGCTGGGGGCGCCTCAGGCAGCTGGTCGAGGATACGATGGCTCTGCCAACGGTCGAGGCTGCGACGCAGGAAAAACAGCACCTCACTGGGACAATACTGCAGCAAACTGATATGCAGGCCCTCATCGTCAACCAAGATGTAGAACTTGCCATGTTCCAGTTGACTCTCCTGAGGGACAACCACAAAGCCGACAGCGGGCCCTGCGCACTGGCCCACGTGACGTGAGTGTGGCGGGCTTCCCAGGAGTCACGCAAGCCCATCCAGGCCCGCTGCAGTCGGGAGAGCGTCACACGCCCATCCCACACCCACGCCGCGTACTGCCCCACGATGCTGAAGGTAGCGTGGAATATGGGGTCGAAGTTCCACTGCTGCGCGGCCAGGTACAGCGTCAGGGAGCCCGACCCCTTGTAGCCACAGAAGACGCCAGCCATGGTCCTCATCTGCTGCAGCTCCGTGTCGCTGATGCCGCTGACCGTGGCTCCGTGCCCCACGGATGGCAGCACACCCGTGGCCCAGAGCCGAGCCGCCCGCTGTCGTCCTGCTCCCTTCTGCAATGCTCGAACGCTGGCCTTCTTGCCGTGCATGGCCTTCAGGCGTCCCTTCTGCACGGCCCTTGTGGCCGACGACCCAGCTAGGTCGTGGCCAAGATACCGCATGTGCCTCTTGCCAGCGATCTTCAGCAGCCTAGCGTACTTCTGAAAGTGGTAGCTGGTGCGCCTGGACGTCGTAAGGTGCCCAGACTTATCCATCTGCAGCACCAGCCCGAGGGGCCGGACAGCCCTGCAGAACGCACGAGTGGCAATGGCCATTTCTCGCACCCCGCTCGGGTCGTTGCCGACCCAGCACAGCGCGACGTCGTCCACCAAGTCCTTGGGCTGAACCTGAGGAGCGACCGACATCGTCTGGCGAATGCTGCGAGTCAACAACACCATGAGAAGCGTAGTGGCGTGGGTGCAGCCTGCCAGGATGCCCTGATACGCCCTGCGCGCCACTGAATACGAAGAATACGAGTACACCGAACGCAGCTGCTGGTACATCTGCACAAGCATGAACGCCATTCGCATAGGATATCCATTGGCCCTGCACTCCAACAAAATGGCATCATGCCTGACCAGCTCGTAGCATTTGAGCATGTCCAGCAGCACAATGATGGCGTCGTCATCGCACAGGGTCGCCATCTCCTTGGTGAGAGCCAAATCAAAGGCCGCATCACTCGACGACTTGCCTCCAGTGTGGCCCCAGACCTCTGGGAGCGCATGGGCCTTCTCCCACGCTGCCGAGACAGGCCGCCTCGCCCGTCCCCAGATCCTGACCAGCGTGTTCATCAGCACAATCAGGCGCTCCCCACCCCCTGGCTTGGGGAGTCTCACGAGCTTCGAGAGGAATCTGCCGTCTGGCCACAGCAGGAGGTGCTCGCACCGCTCGAAGAGGCGCGCCATGGCCGTCAGCGCCCCGTGGGAGAGGTGCTCCATGGCCCTGGGCGCGATGTTGATCTGCCCGACGCCTGTCTGCCAAGAGAAACAACGGATTGCCTTGAGTACGTCGGCCGCCTCAAGCCTTGGCAGCTGCTCCCAAGTGTCCGCATCAACAGGTCGGCGAGCCAGCTCACCGCCATGCCGCACCCAGAAGCTTTCCCAATATTCAAGCTTACGATCAGCCAGTACGTACCCATGTTGTAGCCCATTGCCTCCGTCCACGATCTCCTGGAGAGCCTTGGGCTTCATGAATCGGTGAGCTCCCTTGGCTCCAGCCACAAAAGCTGCCTGCGCCCACTGCCTCCAGCTCTGCATCACGGCCTTCTCATGCTTGGCCTCAGCATCGGAGGAGATACTCAGGATGCGGTCGACCTGCTGCTCGAAGTCTGCCTGCGCTAAGGCAAGTATGCCACGC